CTTAATGATGCATTCTGTAGGAGTAAGAGACTTGACTATGAATATGCCATGTCTGAAATACAAAAAGAAAGAGTTTGGGTATCCCCTCCCTATTTCTAATTGATCTTTGTACCCTCAAGGCATCCCTCAAGAAGATTCCACTCCAGAGCAGGTGGATGCCATCTGGAGAGAGCAGAAGACAAAGTCTGACCAGCCTATCCATCCTCCAACTGGCACGCAATTTTGTCCTCCCAGAAAGCTCTTGAACTGTGTACTTACTCCTATTGGACATGTATAAGCATAAATCACAATTGGTCTGGTGACAAGAATGTCTAAAGAAGGAAGCATAACTTTGTAGTAAACTGTTCCTTTTTATTCTGTTATTATTTATTTTATTTATTCTATTATTTATTTTATTCTGAAGAGGGCAAATATAAAAAGGCGAGTTGGAAGTAGAGCATTTCTGCTGTACTGTGAAAGAGATCACCTCTGGAGATAGATAAAAGGGACAACAGACTTGAGGAATTCCACCCTAGGGCAAAGAAATCTCCAAGACACTTGTGTCATCTATCTAATCACCAAGGCAACCTTTCCTAGCAGCAGGACAAGGCTGTTTTATTTAGATTTTGAAGCTCACAGGTTAAACTTATATTTATCACCTAGGAATCACATTTTACATGTTGGTAAAGGCACATTAGTTAAAGGTGACTAAAATCTTGTTCTTACTCTTAGCTAGCATACGTAAGGCACAAATGTAAATTATTCCCTGCTAGCTGCTGTGAAATATAAATTGTTGCAAGCTGCCTAATTTCTGAAAGCAGAGATAGTTAAGTGGTTCAACTGAAAAGCTTATGGAGAATTCTTAGTTTACTAGCAGAGAGAGAGAGAAGTACGATAAATAAGTGGAGATTTCTCATTGGTCAGGAGCCAGTTTCCACTGAGGAACATTTGGGTATCCACCAGAGTAGCCCTGGCCATAAGCCCTCAGTTGTTCTCAGTCCCTATTGGCCCACACAACCAGAGATCAGCCCTATTGGCCCACACAACCAGAGATCAGTCTCCACAAAGGAATCTAGCTGTCTGTCTGGTCAACATTCCATTGGCCGTTGACTTCAATGGGGATTCACCAAAGTGATGCTAAGGAAACCCACCCTCTGCTTTAAAGAGTGGCAGTTGCTGTAAAAGTACTTAGCTGGCTGGCAGAGTAACCACTGTTTGTCAAAGTTCTAGAAAGGATAGTTAAAAGCCTGAACAAGATTACCTAGCATGTTACCACTTTATAAGTTTATGGTAAAAATTTTAAAGTCCACAACTTATTATCAAAGTCTTTTTCTTACACATAAATGATAACTAGGTCTAGGAGAAGAGGAAAGGTTGCAGATCCTCCCTTAGACTAAATGTGTTTTGGTCCCATAAGTGTGCTGCTTTGGAGATAGCTCCTTCTGGTGTCACCCAGAAGTCGGTTTTCTCTACTGTGTCTCAGGTTCAGCCTCCCAAAGGAGACCTGCTCAGAACACTAAACCGGGACATGGCTTTTATGTGTGTTCTTCCAGATGGCAAAATTCCAGTGTCTCCTCTGACCCAGAGACAGGGTATGTATTCCTCCTTTAAGGTGACTTCTCTGTCTTTGGTGTGAGCAGACACTCATTTTTCCATAGGTTTAACTTAGTTGGAACAGCCTAGAGTTCTTTTCTTTCTAATTTTACATGCCTCTAAAAAGGAGGAAAGGAAAGTACAAAGGAAAGTACAAAGTGGTAGAAAAAAGATTAAGAGTAAGGCCAGAGAAAGGAAACTGAAGCAGAACCAGCTTGACATTTCCTCTAGAGTGTAGAGGAGGATCAGAGCCAGTCTGTCCCAGTGAAACCTGTCCTCCAAGTCTTAAGAATGGCTGCCAAGCTAATGTCTTTTTTAAATGGTGGATGGAGTTCCTTGTTTTATTATATAGGCATGTGTGTTTTCTAAGTCTGAGCTAGATTTAAAAAGACCCATTTTACAGACCTTTATATTAAAGTCCAGTAGGGGGAGTTCTAACATTACTCTCCCTAGCACTGTTGTCTAAATAAAGTCAAGCAAGGAAAACTAGTAAATTTAGCGACTAGTTCAAGTGCAACATAAACAAGAGCAAAACAAGAATAAAATGCCCCATTAAAGAAATATCATAACCTTATAACCTTGCCAGGTTTTAACTTAAGATTTATCAACATTTTAACAAAACTATATGAGACAAAGCATAAGCAATTATAAGCAACAGGCAAAGACATAACAAAATTTGAAGCATAAAAATTTGTTACCTGAATGAGACCCAATCCAGAGTCTGTGAAACAAAAGCAAACTCCTACCTCCATCCAATGATCTCAGTGGAAACCTCCAAATGTATGGGGAAAGAAACTCCCAACCTGAAAGGTATCTGGGATGAGCTTGTGTCCTCTAAAATCAAAGAAGGAATTTTAGGAACAATGGTGGTTAGGAGCAGAATATATTTATTGGGGGAAAGAAAGCTTCTGTTTGAGAGAGGGACAGAAGGGGGCCGAGTGGGTTGCCCCGGAACCTGTCTCTTTTAGAGATTCTTATAGAGCAAATCCACGAGGTGAGGCAGGTCCAAGGTGGAAAACGGGAATTTGCAAGGTGGGCATGAGATGGGACAAAACTATGGTCAGCCAATAAGATTACAAGTATAATTGTTCAGGAAAAAATGATTAAATCGGGATCAAATGGGAAAGTGAGTCACATAGCAAGTGGACATGAATACAGAACAGTGGTCTTTCCTTTAGAGGGTTGGGTTATTGACTCTTCCTGGCTTTTTTAAGGTGATGGATGCCTATTTAGAATGTCAATCCCTGAGGTCCATAACTAGGGAGGTGTGTGGGTGCATTTGTTTCATCTTTTGTCTTGAGGTCTGGCCCACAGCGGGGGTGCCTGCCTCTCCTGCAGTTGCAAGGTATCTTGTCTTCCCCACCGGCTCCTTCGAGGGCCTGGCCCTGTTTGACAGCCTCTAATTTTTCTAATATTTCTATCTACTCAGTTGCTTACAACAGAGGGACCTGACCCGCCCGAAGCCCGGGCAGGGCGGATGTCCTGAAGCACCCGATGACTAACCGGGGCAGATAAATCATTTCTCTTTCTACACAGGAGCTTGTCTGCTCATGAGGTACTCGGGCATGAACAGTTTGTTTAAACCCAACACATTTTTTTAAAATAAAGTAACCATAGGAAATAATAAGCCCTTTTACTGGGTTCCTCTTTGCTTTGCTCCAAGAAAAAATAGCATATGTGAGCTGCACTACAGGCTGAGTGCAGAAAGCCATTCCTTTGCCCGTCCTTGGTGTGGAAACGCCCCGTTCCTCAGCCAACAAGTGACACTGTGTTCTAGGAAAGGGCAGTCACCTGGTCCCAGGCAACCTCGGCAGTCCAACCCCCCTCTCATCCACACAGCAGGTACTTACTAAGCTCCGGCTCTCTGCCAGGCTCTCCTGACTCTGAGCCAGTCATAGGCATGGGGCGGGCATGCAGCTCAACTCCAGACCAAGAGAGAGAGGGGAAGACTGCTAGGGAGGTTCTTCTGGTGAACCAAAATGGAAGAGGCCCAAAGAGGAAGCTGGCCTTGTCCTTCCTGTGTTTGGATGATATCATAAGGGATGTGGTGCTGGATCCAGAGCAGCTATTTTGTCATCATGGGGAGAAAGAAGAGAATCACAGGAAGGGTAACTGAGCACTCTGGCCTAGGTAACTAACCAAGTCTGGGGTCACTTCATCCTATTTATAGGAAAATGAAAACCAGATAAGGGAGGTGGGGATTTAGTTCAGTGGCACAGCGTCTGCCTGGCAAGCACAACGTCGTGAGTTCGATTCCTGGTACTGGAAAAAAAAAAAAAAAAAAGAAAAAAGAAAAAAGGCACAGTTAGATTCTCGGTGCCTCGCAGCCAAAAGCATCTAAACAAATATGCATGGTTTTGTTTCCATTATTTGTTTTGGATACACATGAATGTATAAATATTATAAGCAATGAAGAACCTGACGTTTTTCATTTTCTTCCAAGCTCTGTTGTTTTTCCACAGAGGGATTTTTATCCCAGTTGTCTTTGTGACCTGTGACGTTTCTGGAGGCCTCCCTACACCCTGTTCAAAAGAGAACCTGTCAAACTTTATGTTCTAATTCTGGGCTTCCTGGCTGAACCAGTGGAACCCCAGGTAAGGAATTAAGAGGGTAAACCAGCCATGTTTGAAATGAATAGTGGAAATTTTGGAGAATAACCTTTAATTCTGTAATGAGTAGATCAAATACTGTTTTACTTGAATGATTTGAACTGGAGCCACAAATATTTCAGGCATCACATGGCTTCTCACTGTCTTGACGGTGACAGTAAAGGGGATATTTTTCCTATGCACTATGAGACCTGGGTGCTAGTTTTTCCTGATTATTAGTTGATCCAAAAGACTTTCATGTCTGTACCTTTCTCCTGTCATTGGTTGCTTCAATTATGAGCTATGATTTGAGGCAGAAGTGTTGCATTGACCTGGGTTTCAACGGGAAATATATGGCCAGGTTATTGAATCCAATTTAGTGGACTCACCAAAAGTGCAGAGACTATTAAGGGAAATCAGGGAGGGATGTGAGGCATTGGCGCTAACAGCAAGTCCAATTTCTAGGCTTACAGTGGGCTGCGGTGGGAGAGCTGGGACTGGTAGCTGGAGAGACTGATGGCGGTGGAGGGATCTCCTGACAGCAGCTGGGTCTTGGGCAGAAGAACATAGTCACCGTCAAATTGCAACTCTGAAAACACAGGTCCGGGGAAGAAATCCCCTGACATCTCCCTGTGCTCATCCTGTGAGCCCTGCTAGTGCCCCCAACTTTCAGCCAGAAGTTAGAGGGCAAGGGCTCCTGACCGGGGGATCTGTGAGTGTCACCCTCCTTGGCCACACTGCAGGGTGGGAAATGGCTGAGAGCAGAGCTGGAAGGCAAGTGGAGGTGACCCATTCGTGTGCCTTATTTTTCAGATCCTGTCAGTAACTTTAGGACCAGCAAATAAACCCATTCCTCGACAGCCATGTGCCTTCCATACTGGGGACACAGGCCAGGTAGGGTCTGTCATGAGAGGTCCTCAGGGGGTCCACTGCAATTTGACCAAGATGTGCATTTATTTCCCTATCCAGGTACCTTACTAGACAAGAGTCAAGGGCTGGTATGTTAGCCTGATGATGTTGAGCTCCTGGGTAGACGTTAATTCTGCTGAGAAAGTATTTCCTGTCCCTTTTCCTCTGACAATAAATCAGAACTGTGCTTCTCTGCCCCCTTGGGGTCAGATATGGTCTTGCAATTTGCACTGGACAAGGAAACAGGAAGAGAAGCAATCAGTAGCCAGGGCAAGGCCCTCGCAGTCTTTTCCCCTGCTGAAGTATTGTGGAAGCACTGTTGATGTGAGGGACCTCTGCCCCAAGCACTGCTAGAGCTGCACTAGATTTGTGGGAGTGGGGACACACCGCTGCCTGTAAGCCATTGAGAACAGAGGTTGTTAGTGTGGCCAACCCTAGCACTTCCCGACAGCACAGAGAGACAGGGCTCCTGCTGTGTGCTCACCCTCCGGTCGCAAGGTGCTGCTGCCATTCATGGGATCTGCGCTGTCCATCAGCACCTGGAAACCTTGCATTCCAGCTGGGACCAGGGAGGAGGCACAAGCCAAGCTGCCGCTCTCTGAGGGCGAAGGGGCTGCCGCTGTCTGAGCCGGGCCGGAGGATGCACTTGCAAACTCACATCCCTGGTTGCGGCTCCTCCCCAGCTGCTCAGGAGGCCTCAGTTCCAAGCAGCATGGCCCTGTCCATGGGACTGCTCAACCCAGCACATTCCCCCAGAGCAAGTAATCCCAGAGAGAGGGAAAGAAGGGACAGGGTCTTCCTTTTTGTACTAGGGATTGAACCCAGGGTCTTGGTCCCAGCCCTTTTTTATTTTGAGGCAGGGTCTTGCAAAATTGTCCAGGCTTGCTTCAAGCTTTCCATCCTCCTGCTTCAGCCTCCCAGAGTGCTAGGACTGTGGGTGTGCACCACCACGCCCAGCTGGCATGGTGTCTTAGAACCTAAGCTCAGAAGTGAGCCCTCCACAAATTCTTCTCTGTTTTGTCAGTCACAGACTGCCATGGTTTGAATGTGTTTGTCCCCTCCAAAACACACGCTGAAATTGGATTGCCATTGTGGTGGTGGTGGGAGGCAGGGTCCTTAAGGAGCCTTTAGGTTGTTAGAGGGTTAATACCTTTCTGATGGGACTGGGTTGATTGCAGCGGTGCTGCATTAGTTACTGTGACAGTGGCTGCTACAAATCAAGGCAACCCCCCACGGCTTACTTCCGCTTGCATGTGCTGATCGCCCCTTCAGACTCCACCAATTTATGAAGCACAACGGGGCCCTCACCTGATGTGGCTGTCCCATCTTGGACTTCTTGGCTTCTACAACCACGAGCTTAAATAAACTTCTTCCTTTTTGAATTACTTGGGCTAAGGCATTTCATATAGCAACAGAAAATGGACCAAGACGAACTATAAGAGGTGTAAGAAAACTTAGCTGCAAGGCAATCATATTCCACGTAAAACTCCAGAAGAAGGGAGGAAATGCTAAGGGGAAGCCAGGCTCTCTGCCTCAGTTCCCTCCTCTAGCCGCACAAATGTGCATGTACTGCTCCTTCTCATAACTTCGTACGCATTCTGTATCCTGAACACACCCCGCGCTTCCGGACTGCAGCTCCTGTGGGCCCGAGGATCTTCATTCTTGGGGTCGCTATGCTCAGAAGCTTGCTACATTCCCACACAAGAAGCTTTTTTTAAACAGGAGTGGGAAGAGGAGGCTGTGATTTGGAAGAAGAAACAGTCCTCCTGCGCTGCTCATCTGGAGCCTTAAGGTTGATTCATCCGAGCCGTGAGTCAGTGCGTCTCTGTATTTCAGCGCTTGGATGCGTTATGTAAGTGGAGATCCCATCGGTGTCTCCTGCGCCTTTTAAGTGTAGGTAGCGAGCTCTTACAAGGATCCACATGGAGATTATGTTTACGGGAGCACATTCCTCGTGCAGCTGAACAATCGGGGCAGTGAATGGGAAGGAAGAGGGTCGCCGGGATCCTAGCTTCTTCATCCCTGGGATTGTTTTAAAGAACACAGCATCATCGCCCCCGGCCTCATAAAACCTGCGGCTTTGCCAGTGGACGCAGTGGCGCATGTCCTAGATCCTTGCTGACTCGGGTCCACGTTATCGCCTCTTGGCGCTTCCATCCTGGGAAAAGAATGCAGAGTTTCTAATTATTATCGCCCTCATCCCCGGTCACCTGGGCACTGGATTTAAGCAGGGATACATTTGAAACAATTGGTATGGCATTTTTGAATGACCTTTTAGATGAAAGTGTAATACGTGGGACAAGATTAATGCACAGAGAGGGCAAGGACGGAGAGTAGCAAATGTCCTCGAGAAAGTAACAAAATCGCATCTGCTGTGCGTTTGCCCTGACTTCACAAAAGCTTGCAACCTTAATGCCCACAAGCTCGCTGCTTCTCAGTGACCATCTTTCCCTCCCGTGTGCCAGAATAATTTTTTCCTGAAGTTCCCACTGACTAGGAAAAGCCGGGTACTCCTCCCACATACTTCTGAAGTTTGTGGGCTGCTTCTCCTGGGATGTGAATCATCCCGGTGGCTGATTCTCCTGTGGAGCCCCCTTGCCCTTTCTCCATCCTGCCGTTGATCACACTGCTTTCACTGTGAGTAACACGTACAGCCCAGGAAGGGCATTCACTAGCTCACAAAGCCAAGACGGCTGAGGGAGGCCAAGGGAAGAGCCAGTCTGTCTGTCGCTGCTTGCGCCTCAACTCGTCTTACAACCCCACCCTCGTACCTCTCCAGGCAAGAGGCTGGTAAAGAACTATCCAGGGCAACTGGGAGAATTCTGAGAAAGGCTTTTGATTGGCCCAGCTTGGGTCGGGAGTGTGTACATTGGTCCAGACCTGGCATCATGACTGGCCAGCCTGGTCCGGGGTCTAACTGTCCCTGGCTGGAGGATGAGACACTGGATTAACTGCCCTACAGGACCACACAGAGCGAGAGGCGCTCCCACGCCGTAAGGGTGCTAGGAGCGGAGGGACAGTGCAGAGTTCCTGGCCCAGCCCCCACCTCCCACATGCTGCTGGTCAGCTCTCCCTACCCGGCAGATCACTCTTGTCCTTCCCTTCTTCAAGAACCCAAGGATCCCAAACATCCTCCTACCTGAGTTTCCTTGGGATAAAGTGCTGAACTCACCTTTGTTTGTTTCACCTTCTCCTTCTAGACCTCTATTTTATGGTCCCAAAGACACATCTAGGTGTTCTCCTAAACAAAACAGCCAATGTTTCCATAGGACGAATCCTTCCATTCTCTCGGAGCAATGACTCCAAGTGCAACTCGCTTCTAAAGCATTCATTTTCCTCTCCCTGCTGTGTACACAGAGCGTGCTGCCCCGTGTGGGACTCCATGACCCTAAGATTAATACATGATTACCTCTGGGTGCTGGGGAATCCCAGGTACTTATGGGTTTTGTTGATTTTACTGTATGTTTCCTTTCCTTTTCTTTTGTTTGTTTTTATTTTTGTTTCTGAGACAGGACTTACTCTATAATTCAAGCTGGCATTGAATTCACTATATAGCCCCAGGCTGGCCTCAAACTCATGGTGATCTTCTTGCTGCAGCCTCCCTAGTGTTGGGATCACAGGCGTGCAACACCACACCCAGCTACTTTTCATGTTTTGGTTCTATTTCTAAGATTAACAAATGAAAACAATTTATGCAAGAACGGAGGAAAGGGTGGCACCTGCTGCGTGCATACATTTTATCAAGAAGAGCAGCAGGCACGTTCATGAGGTGGTGTACACTGTAATCCCAGCTACTCCGGAGGCTGGGGCAGGAGGATCATGAGTTGAAGGCCAGCCTGGCCAATTTAGTCAAATAAGAAAGGGCTGGCGAGGTAACTCAGTGGTGGAGCACTTGCCCTGGGTTTGATCCCCTGTACCAGGGTTAAAAAGTGAAAATTCCCTCAAGGTACACCCTGTCTTCAACCTAAGCCTCACTGGCCAGGTGGTGTCACATGACCACCACCACTTCCAGGAGAATGGGAACAGCGTACTTTGGTTCTCCCAACCTGGCTCCGTGGAGGGGGGATACACCAGCGAAGGGGCCGGGGCTGAGGGCTGATTCTCCTACACCCACAGTGTCTGCAGGAGCAGAGCTGGGAGGTGAAGAAACGGTGGCGAGGTCCTTCTCAGTCCAGGGCAGGTGTTATCGCTTTGGGGTGTGATGCTGGGTGTCCAGAGGCAACTTTTGGTAAAACTTGGAGCCTGGGCCGCTCATGAGGACTACGCATCAAATAAGCCTTGCCCTGTCTCCCTTAGTGCTCGTGCCAATGGTAATTATGGCTGACGCACAAAGGGCTTCTTTCTTAGTTGTTTTAAGATTATAAAAACAGACTCAAGGAGAATGGTATTGGTAACAAATCTGCATCTAGCACACGGAATCCCCATTCAAGACTGGGCTCTAGGCACAGGGCGTGGGTCTTCTGCCGGCTAGGCCGACTTTCTGCCCATGGCTAACACTTCTTGCCCTGGATTGCTCTTCCATCATGGCTTCGGTGTGCTCCGCAGACCTCTACCGCGATCTCAGAGCTGGTTTGCAGCACCCCCCATCGCTGCACCGACAGGACTGAGTCTGCTTTGCCCACAGCCCCCTTCCCAGCGCTCCCGGCCGTCTGTCTGCTGGTGTCTATGAGAATACTTCAGAAAGTAGACCACACCCTCTCTGTGCAGGATCATTACACACTCGCACGCCTGCCTCATCCTCACCCGCCCTTCTTTTTCCCAGAAAGAAGCCAGCACCCGCCCTGGGCACCGAGGGATGCTCAGGCCTCTAATTAGGCTGCCCGGGAGCTGCCAGGGACGGGCTCGTGCTCAGAGCTGGGCTCACTGCGCACTGGTTTCCTGGAGAAAAGTTGTGAGGTAGAGGGGAAGCTTGCCAAGGATGTGTAACAGGATGTGTAAATGTTTGTATTCTGGAAGACCGTCAGTGTTTCTACTTTTGAGCTCTTTATTTTAAACACCTGGAAAGATGGAGCTAGCGTCATACGTAAGAAATTAGAAGTGTACGCCAGCGTCACTCCTGACGGATTGGCCTTTTCAGTGTCCACCTTTTCCTTCTTTCTCACCAACAGACCCTGGCTTTTCTCAAGCAGCAATGTATCAACTCACAAATGCTCCCCTTCCAAGACTCCTTACTTAGGGACGCACTCTGATCAGTCAGATGTAGGCAGAAGTTGCTAGGTGGGAGCTTCCAGGAATTTCTTTGGTGGGGTACGAATCCTTTATTTTTATATTTATTTCAGTACCAGGAATCGAAGTCAGGATCTTGTGCTTGCCAGGCAGGTGCTGTGCCACTGAGCTACATCCCTGGCCCAGGAATTCTTTTTAAAGGGAAAGTCTTAGCTGGCATTGCCCTTTGCTTTTTTCTCCCACCTTCCCTCTCTCCCTTCCCCTTCCCCTCATTTCTCTCTCTCCTTGAAATGCAGACTCAATATCACAGCATCCATCTTCTGTCCATTAACGTAAGAGTTATGTGCTAAAGATAGAAACATGGGAAGACAGAATGACCCTACATCCTTGACAACATTAAAGCAGGGCCCGCTGGGGCACACCTGTAATCCAGCACTCAGGAGGCTGAGGCAGGGGGATTGCCATGAGTTGGAGGCCAGCCTGAACTACATAGTGAGACCCTGTCTCAAACAAACAAACAAGGACACACACACACACACAAACACACAAAAGAAAATTAGAGAGCTACTCAGCCTTGGATTACCTCCATGCTGATGTCTTATATAAAAACACTTAAACAGCCTACCTGATTAATCAATTGTTCCATGCAATCAGATATAATTTCAATTGAGAGATTAAGGTATTTAATGAGCTCTGATAGTACATGGATGCAAGCTCACTTCAGAAATCTCAGGAACAGTGCTGTTCAAATTTCTGTGCCTACAAACCATTTGGGGACCTTGGTAAAAGTGCAGATTGTGACTCAGCAGATGTGAGTGGGGGCCTGAGACTGTGCGCGCCTCACAAGCTTGCCTCAGTTGCTGATGAGGCTGACCCTGCGCCACACCTTGCATAGCAAGGATCTGGAGGATGACATCTCCTTCGGGCCGCTTTTCGGAGGAGCTGTTGTTTCTCTTTGATATGCTTCTGTTTCAGACAAAAATCTGTACACTGGTGCCATTTGCAACAAAAAGCTAAGGTTTTATTTAGAACATCGTTTTAGAGACAAAAAGCAGTTCATTTTATTTAGCAAAATAAATTTAACAAATACATTTAAATAAGGTAAGTTTAAGACGTTTGCAGATTTTTTTTTTCTTAGTCACTTGCTTTCCTGCTGGTTCACGCCTCTCTTTCTAGCCTAACTGGGTTCTTTCCAAGTTGATGTAGCCATAAGCCAAGGACTCACTGTACACACTTTGAATGACGCAGGTCCCCTCTGTATTCTCACCCCATCGGGTAGGAGAAGGACTTGGGGAAGTAGCCAACAGGAAGTGTTCTCCTCTTCCCGCCTTATCTTCTCAGCAGAGGCCCTGCTTGCTCTGAAATGGGTGGAAAGCAAACAGCTCCGGGGAGGTGGTGGCCCAAAGCAGACCAAGATGGTTTGCACGCCATCGGTCGTGGTGACCTAAAGGGAAAGAAAGGCTGCGTTCTGCAGCGCGTGGCCAGACACTCCACACAGAGCGTGTGCTTGGTTTCCCATTGTTTCTAGTTATGCACATGAAGAAAATACAACAGCCTGTTACCTAGCAGGACACCTAACTTGGAACACACACTACGCGGAGAAATCGAACGCCTGGGAGGACGGGGAGAGGAGAGGAGCGGCGCGGCAGCGGTCTCCAGGAGCAGGGCTGCCAGGGCCACCCACTGAGCCCCAGTCCTCAGTCCGTGACGGATCTGCACTCCGAAGGCAGCCCCTCCGACCGCCGCCACTGGGCCAGGCGCTGCTTAAACCATTTCTGGAAGAGAGAAATGCGCAAAATTAGCTGTCACACACGGCAAAATCAGAGCGCCTGTTCCATTTCCAAACGGAAGTCTCTGTGTCCCCCAGGAGGGACACGGGGACGGTTCTCACGGAGATGCCGGCCGTTTCTGTCTCAGGACCTTCGCTCTTTCCTGGGCCTAGGTCTCTATTCTTTATCTGATGACCTCTCGCTCATGCTCAGGTGCAGCTGAGGCAGAGGCTTCCCCGTGAAGTCCTCCCTGACCACTGTCTTAGCGCTCTGGTACCTTCGTGCAACTTTCTATCTATCACTACTTGATGTGCTCGGGTATCCCCTTGCTTTACATCAGTAAATCTCCCAGCAGTGTCGCCGCAGCAGGCACCAGCGCCCTCTCTGCTGGCTCTCGAGCCAAGTCGCCCCAGCGTCGCCCCAGCAGCCGAGCACTGGACAATGGTGCACAGAAGTGCCATGTGCACACTCGGAAAGGAGCAGCGGCACTAGGCCACGACGTCATATGCGGTTTGGGCGCTCGGTCTCTAGAAGGTTCATCCCCCCTGTCCTAGATATAAGATCTGTGAAAGCAGGGCTGTCTTCATCCCATCATCATCCCATCTCGGGCCCTAATACAAAAGCCCAAAGTTAGAAATGAGTCAGTGTTTGCTGAATGAATAAAAGAAACTGAAGTAGCTCCTCAACGCCCAGATGAACCTCTGTAGCTGCTATATCGCGTGTGCGGATCTCAACACAGGCTTTGCTCATCAGTAGTGCACTAGTGAATAAGAATGCACTGAATAAGGGGCTGGGGATTTAGCTCAGCGGCAAAGCGCCTGCCTGGCAAGCGCAAGGTCGTGGGTTCAGTTCCTGGTACCGGAGAAAAACCAAAAAAACAAACAAACAAACAAAAAAAAGAATGCACTGAATAAAATGAGCGGTAACAGAGAACAAGGCAGCTGTGGAGCCTTCGTTCTCGGGAGTACATGGGGACGGCCAGCCGGATCTCTCTCGCTCCAGCACCCTAGAGCAGTGAGAGAAGGTGGGTTGGCCTCCCAGTTCCTGAGAATCTGCTCTGTGTGACTCAGCTATGCACGGGTCTCTGAGGCGACCACGGATTCAGAAAGGCGCTGGCTGGGATGCTTCTAGCCAAGGTCCCAGAAGAGGCCTCAGACACGTGTCTGTGTTGTAAGGCAGCGTGGTCATCCTTGACAAGTCACTGGCCGCCTTTACGATGCCATCAAGGAGATGAAGGATGCCTCAGGACGGGGAGACTCGCCCTGGGGAAGAGATCTGGGGTCTGGACCAGGTTGGTCAGGAGGAAACCTAGATTTTAGGAAAACAACCCTGAGGCAGGTGAGTGGGGAAACCGAGGCGGTGTGCTTGATTGCCACGGCAAGGGTGAACGCTGTGGGAAGGTGGGACTCCCAGGCTCTGCTTGCTGTGCCTCCCAACCCCCTGCCATGGTGCGTGTGGAGAACGGCGGCATCTGCCAGTCATGTTGGGCTCAGCGGGCCAGCTGCTTGGGTAAGTGAGCACCAGCCGCTGGAGCCCCAGGTCCTGCCAACGGGAAGTGCTACTAACTCCTGGGCGAGGGGAGGTCCTTCACCGTAGGGCACCCACCAGCTCCTCACTGCACGGACAGGCAGCAGGTGGGGGTCCCTGTCATCCCCTCTGAGCTGTTCTAGGAGTAAGGAGATGAGGGGACAGAGAGGGAAGAAGTAGCGCAGCTGGAGGATGCCAGACCTAGGACGTGTTTGTGGAGGTGGCGTGGTAGGGGATGTCAGAGGGCTTCCCACTTTACAAGGGCCAGCGCCTCCCACGGTGCAGTTTCAACCCCCACGCAAACAGGGGGCCCTCGAGCCACACGCACTGAGCAAGATCGCATCTCTCGGAGAGTGAGGGAGCTGAAGGGAGCTGAGCATCAGGCCAGCCCCGCAGTGGTCTCCCCACCTGACACGGGGGGAGGCAGGAGTGAAATGCCGGGCAGCTGCGGTGGGAGGAGAGCCTTCTTCCTCTTTGGGGCTGCTCCCTGGATGCCATGCTTGCACCTGTGCACTCACTAACGCGAGGGAGAAGAGAGAGCGCACGCCCCTTGGTGGCTTGTCTCCAGTTCTACTGTGAAAGGTGGGTGCACTTTCCTGTATGATCCACATGTGGGTCCCCTTAATTCTGGGTGCGGCTGGAGCTCAGCATGGCACCAGCTTCACTAACGAGGTCGCTCTGTGGGGGTTTCAAGGCCGCAAGTGCTGAGTCAACAGGATTCATGGTGACCAGCGCTGAACACACGGCAGCATTTGAAAGGCTGACTAATTAAAACCTGGGGGAGAAAAGTCTCGCTTTCCATCAGGATTCATTTAAGGCAAAATGTCGCGCTGGCCCCGTTCAGAAGCCACCCACATCTTTACACCGTGGTGAAGCAGAATATTGATGAACCTTTCCCAAAATAGCCTCAGTATCAATCACTTCTGGGAATTTGTAAATTCAGATCCGAACACTTAACCACTAAGCCCGAGCGCTGTGGAGTGGGAGAAGGGAAAAGCTCAAATGTTTTCTGAAGACACATATTTTAAATCAAGTGCATATGTAATATTTTAATAAACCATTTGCTGTCTAGCAAAAAACAGGAAATCCTCTGAGCTTTTCTTCCCCCTCTAGAGTTGCATCTTGTAACTTCTCACATCAATACTAATTTTCTACCTGGCTTTATTCTCCTTTTCCGTGTTTCTGTCATCTCCTGGGAACATTCATCCCTTGCTTGCTTATAAATGAATGCCCTCATTACCCTTGCTCACTGATGGAGATTTATTTATTTCCAGTGAACAGATAATAATTAGATCCTGGGATAGGGAGGGGTTGGGGCAAAAGCACATTGTTCGTGTCCTTTTCTCTAGCAACTAACATTTCATTCTTTTCAGGGGGAGACCTTTAGAGGGCTTTATTCCACTGATAAAACATCCAGCGATTAAAATTGCTGGGTTCTGGGAACGAGCCCAGAACATCAAAAGGAGATAAAAGTACTGGAACTGTCTCCCAGAACCAGTGCCAAGGGCAGTGTGCTCGCATTGTGTGAGTGTGTGTGTGTGAGTGTGTGTGTAACAGTGTGATAACAGAGACTGCTTCATCCCTGTCCCTAGGGGCTGATGAAAGCGCTCTCCCAGTCCCTCTAACACTGACTGCAAAACAATGATGCAGGAGTGGGGATTCTGGGAGCTTTTGCCTAATCCCAGTGTAGGAGCTGTTTAGATTTCTGTCATCCTAGGACCCTAAGAAAGGCAACTGGAAAAGTTATTTCAGTCAGTGCAGCCAGACCTGCACTTAGTTCTTCTGGTTGCCTCCCCGGCAGAGCACTTTGCCCTACAGGGAGACAGGTACAAGTGGTGTGCAGATCTTTTGGTGGCTCGAAGTGTGATAACTGGGTTTTCACACCACTGTGTGAGATGCGCCTCCCATACACCCTGTTACAATATTGTGCCCCTGGTGTAAGGGGGAAAAGGGGTCCACAAAAGCTCCCTCGTTAGAGAATGTGTACCTTCCAGGCCCCTGCCCCTGCCCAAGCATGAGCAGTGTGAGTCAGCTGCAGTAACTGTCTCTAAGATTATCTGAAATAAAAATTTTAAAAAATTATCTGTGCTTGTTTCCTTTCACTAAAGTATTACTTCTTCTAGGGAAATTAACAGGGTGATTCTCTCCCCGGATGTGGCTGGGGTTTCAGGGTAAGATGATTCAGGCATATATGATGAATATCATTTTACCTTTGGTGACCTTTCACCATGGGCAGGGACCGCACTGGTAAAGAACAGAAATAGGGGTTGCTGATAGAGACATCGATTACATGTAGGTGTGGCAGGCCCCGACCTCTGTGGAGCTGCTTACAGGGTCTCTAAAAGATCTGCTACAGATAAAAATAATTTTGTTAATACTTGAAAGTTCATTACTGTGCATTCTATTTCCAAAACATACTTTTTTTCTGGTAGAATACACTTTGGGCTGGGTGTGGTGGCGCACGCCTGTAATCCTAGCACTTGGGAGGCTGAGGCAGGAAGATCACTGCAAGTTCGAGACCAGCATGGGCTACAGAGTGAGTTCAAGGCCAGCCTGAACTGCATAGTGAAACTCTGTCTCAAAAAGACACTTTGACAAATGCAAATGCTGTTTGAGAAGACTGGACACCATCTCTAGCCCACCCATGCACACGAAGGCAGTGCTGGGAGGGGTGGAAGAGGAGACCCATCCCAGGAAGGAGTGGCAGAAGGCAGGTGGTCTGAGGGACCTAGCAGGTGTCCTTCCTGACCCTTGCTGAGCTCTGGGTTCCAGACGCTTAGCAGGGCTTCAGCAGCCACAGGAAGAAGAAGGTGTGGGCCCCGCAGCAGGAAGAGGAAGCCAGGGCCCCGCTATGTGGCTGACTCACCGTACCCACTCTTGTGAACTGGGCCGGCCATTTGTTTCCTTGAGGTTGACAAACGGGGACATGGAGGGAGGGTGGCATGAGCGGGAGGATGAGCCTGCTGTGCAGATGCCTGCGCTGGCCGGCCTCGGCCTCGGAGGGTGGCCAGTGCCCAGTCCTTCTGACCCTGCCCAGATTTAATTTTATTTGCTAATATCGGGTGATCCTGGAGGAAAGGCTGACTGGAGTCTGGAGTCAGGCCACTTCATGCATGGATTTTTAAAAATCAAATCAATTTTAGAAATCAGTATGTTTTGGTCCTTTCTTCCTACCCCATTCAGCTGTCTCCCTAACCTCCCCTGTGGAGACCAGGAGTCGATGGAGGCCAGGAGTCTACGTGGAACCAGACTGGCCAAGCCCAAGCCCCAGCCCCATCACTGTGGTCTCGGGCAAGTGACTCTTTCTGTGCCTCAGTCCCTGCGTCTATACAGGTGTGCTAACAGTACCTGCCTTTACAGTACTGTTGTGGCAGATAAGTGACTTAATACTTAGAGGGTGCCTGGAACAGCATATGGTACGTAGCAGCCACTCCAAAGGTCAGCATGGGGCTGGGCGTGCAGCTCACTGGTAGGGTGTGTGC